GTAGTAGTAGTAGTAGTAGTAGTAGTAGTAGTGGTAGTAGTAGAGGTAGTAGACGTAGTAGTAGTAGTAGTAGTAGTAATAGTAGTAGTAGTAGTAGTAGTAGTAGTGGTAGTAGTAGCAGTAGTCGTAGTGGTGGTGGTGGTAGTAGTAGTGGTGGTGGCAGTGGTAGTGGTAGTGGTAGTGGTAGTGGTAGTGGTAGTATATCGGTATCTATCGCCGTATTTATACGTACCTGTATATCTATTGTGCATATCTATCTGTGTACCTGTTTGTACAGCTATATATATATACACATACACCTATCATATCCTAACCATATTTATATCCGTATATCTATCTATCTATTACCTATCTATCTAACTATCCATCCATTATGTAGGCGTGATGCTGTGCCGCAAGTGTTCGTCTCAGGCACGGTCCGTCATCTTCCGGAAGGTCGCAGTCTCCAAGCTCCTGCGCATCGTAGGGGATTTGGAGTGCAACATGGCGATTTGGAAGTCGGGATCAGGCCATATTCGCAGTACGTGACAGGTGCAGAAGCCAGACATTGCTTATACCAAGCATGCTTATATCTACTATAGACAAGACCGCGTACGATACATCAATGCGACACCTTTGGTAACTTGTCAACTTTTTTCTTTGAGCTACAGGTCCTGCAGCTCGAGTGTCTGCGAGTTCTGGGACATGAGCTTGCCCGCTGACATGCCCATTCGACTGCTACAGGCGGAGATGCTTTGCCTCCCGCACCGCAGCACTCTGAGAATCGGCTTGTGGCAAACTGAAAGTTGGCCTGTCCGGCATGTCTCCTGCGTCGCTCCTTCAGAAAGTTCATTCGACCGGTCACCCGCATGCCAGGATGAAGCATGAGGAAGCAACGGGATGAAAGTCGCGAGGCTGGACAATGTGAGGGCGAACGGGGTAGATATGCGTTTCGGATTGCGCAGGGACTTTCCACATGTCAGCTGTCTGATATACCGACTGTGCAACAAGCTCCTCGCAGCTGATGGCGAGCCGGCCTCATCCCAGCCCTGCTGGAAGATTCAATTCGAGACTACAAGCAGCCAGGTTGATACTGCTGATATACTTCTGTAGTTACGAGTACTGGACACGCCAAGAGCTCAACAGAAAGCTTTTCCCACCTGGCCGTCGCCTCGGGAAGCAACGGGCTCTCCGACGTCGTCTACGGCCTGCGAGTCGTCCCTGCCGCGACTGCTCACCACGGCGCTGTGCTCAGATTGCGGTCGCAAGCCAGAGGCCGAGGCCCACCGAAGAATTGACCGAACATGCCACCCCTGCACGAGAGGTGGAACGTGGAGGGAGACAGGGAAACAGAGAGAGAGAGGTAGCGAGAGAGAGAGAGAGAGAGA